TTTAATATTTCCAACAGTAGCGTGCGGTGATATTTTATGTTGGGTAAGCGCTAAAATAAAATTTCAAGTTAAAACAAAAAAAGGTATTTTATTAATAAAAAATAAAAATTACAATCTAAAATTTATTTATAAACAAAATCTATTCGTCTTTTTTGTTTTATAAATTCGTTAATAACTTTATCATAAAATTCTGGATGATTTTTTTCTTTGTGCAGGAGTTCCTTTTCGATTGAAATTAATGACAATGAACTTAGTCTTTCTTGCCCTTGTGTAGATCTTTGATACGATTTGATACGTTTTAATGCCGAAAAAGAACGTTCAACTGAAGCTGTTGTACTGGGAATAGTTAAAATTAGTTGACTGAGTTTAAATACTTCTTGGAACGCCGATATTAAATCATTTATCTTAATTTTTTTGACTAAATCATATGGATTAGTATTTAAAAATTCTTCAGATTTGTATAATACAATTAATTCATTTCGTAATCTAATAAAATCAAATATTTCTCCAAAATTTGATTCTTGCAAGTTTTCTAGAGCAGAATTTAGAAATTCGTTCGTGTAGTTTGAATATTTACTTGGGTCAATTAATGATAAAAATTCAAATTTATTTAAAGAACCAAATCGCGCTTGCAAATTTGTCAATATGTTATCAAATATTTCATTAAAAAGTACTTTGTAAATGTTTTCGGGTCACGAATTTTACACTGTAGTTCAAAATCGCCTTTATCTGATAAAACTGTTTCCCATAATTTTTCAAATAGATTTAACCTATAATTTTGCAGTTGACATTTAGTTTCTTCAATTTTTTTCACACAGTATAAAATATCTAAACGTTTAGTTTGTAATACTTCATATAAAATATCAGTCAAACTAAATATTTTACTAAATACTATTAGCAAAAAATATGTTTGTCGACTATCTAAAAATTGATGAACCCTTGAGATAATACTATCGCTTCATTATCCCAATCATTAGAATTATCTAATACGTGTTGAAAAAACTCTATGAAATATGAATTGTATTCGTGAACTGTATTTACTAAGCGACAAGAAAAATTCCATCTAGTCGGCGAATTTTTGGCATTTTTTTTTTTTGTAAAATTAGATAAAGCATGTGTACGTTTAGAAGATTTAGTAAAAAATGATCCCATACCAGTTAGTGTTTGAAAAAAAATCTTACAGTCTTTTATATTTGATGCTGATTGTGAAAGTACAAGATTTAATGAATGGCTAAAACAATGGACAAATAATGCTTTTGGGTAGAGCTCCTTTACTTTAACTTGTAGTCCTCCAACATGACCACTCATAACGGCCACTCCGTCATAAGTTTGAGCTACTAATTTATGTTTTAATTCATACCTATTAACTATATCAATTACGTGTTTCAATAAACCATCTGCTGATCTATCAGCACTAACATCGACAAATGAGATAAAACGTTCATGTGCTTCCCCGGTTTCATGATGAACATAACTTAAAGTTGTTGATAATTGAGACAGATTTGTTATGTTTGAAGTTTCATCTAATAATATTGCAACAAAATTAGTATTTTTTATTTCTGATTCAATGGACGTTGATATGATGTTGCTAACTGAGCAAATAAGATCATTTTGAATTCTATTGGATATACCACGGAATATTTTTGATGTTTCTAAATGCACGTTTAAAATAGAATCATAAGATGATAATAAATTTAAACAACCGAGGAAATTTCCCTGATTGAAAGAATTAACTATTTCATTGTGACCACGAAATGGTAATTCGTGGATCGCCAAAAAACAAACACAATCAATAAAACGTTTTAAAACGTCTTTATTTTTTTTTACCAATTCATTATGGCGTATTACATCTGAACGTCTTTGTTCATCAAGCTGCAAATCAATTCTAGATTTTCCAAACATTTTTAATTTTAAAACAGAAGAAATATGTGTTTGAGATCGTTCATGTTTTTGAATACCATTTGTTAAATTATTTAAATTAACAAAACCACTATGAGACCAAACATTTTTTCCCCTGGTAAATAAAACACAAGGCCAACAGAAAAGTTTATTTAATTTTGCACTACCAGTCAACCATGGAGTATTTAAATAATTAGAAATATTAAAATGATGAATGTAAACTTTGTTTTTTTTCTTTGTGATTAGATGTCAATTTTGGAATTTCTGGACATGGTCGACCATTTTTTACAATTGTTAATTTTTCATCAAAATTTTTTAAATGAAATTCATTTTCCAAAAGATGCTCGATTAAACAATTGTTTGGATCAGTATTCATTGTCTATAAAAACAAATATAAACAAGGCGAATATAATTTGATTCCTCTTAATTATAATAATTTTATTTATTTAAATAATAATTATCTATACCAATTCTATAAAATTATGCAATAGGAATTTAATATACTTACATTAAAAATTTTTGTTCAACACCAAATTAACTATGAAGACTTGTGGACACGTTGACGGTTGACGACAAAATAATATATTTATTATTAGTATAGTATAGTATAGTATAGTATAGTTAAAACTTATAATAAGTATATTGATAACAAAAATAATCCGATATGTATCGTAAGAATATTGGAATTCCGTTTTTAAAAGTATCGATAAGCGCTCGGCATAGCGCTTTCAACCATCACGTAAAAACGCGTATATCCCCTTCTACCACAACTAGTCATTCCTATAAATAACGATATAGGAAAGGCAATCTAAAATACTAGCGCTTCTGTAGAGAAATTTCCTATACGAAAAAAAAAAATTTAATTTCTTTCAAAATCTGATAAATTTTTTTAAATTGAACACAATAATAAGAATTAATAAATATTTGTAATTTTAATGTAAACAAATTGTCATTTAACATCAGAAATATTAATCTTTTTCTTTTTTCTTTTTGGCTGGGTATGCACCGCTTACCTAGCTTGTCCTGACCGCACGCCACTGATTTCCAATTTGCCGACTTCTGATTTGCTGACAGATCCGTCCTAACCTGGCCTCTTGAAATAAACTGTCGTATTTGTTGATTGTGGGGGGGGGGGAACTCATGGAATTTGTCACATTCTAGATATCATCGGCTATGTAAAATCGACAAATTATTAAAATATAAATAAGTATCTTATAAATTCATGTTGTAAATCAGAAAAATGAGACGTGTACTATACAGGTACAAAATACAAATCATTTTATTTTCGGGCTGGATTGACCTCCTTCCACCATGTTTGAGACTTTGGTAAAATGAACCAGTGATTCGCCAATTTCAATAAGAGAATGCTCACTGCCTTAATTTAAATATAACTGAAATGATGCCATTAGATCCATATTTCTCTAACTGTGAATCTGTTCCTGTGCGTATACAATAATAACACACCTATGGTCGAGGTGACGACTGATAGAATCATATTATAACGTTATTTTAGTAGACGTGATCAAAAGGTAGTAATTATTATTAATCCGTAGACTAAATATTGCACAAATATGTAGCGTTAACGCCAACGCCTAGGATCCCTAATCCCTCGTGCTAAATACAAGACGTGTGCCTGATCATTCCGCGTGGCTGTTTTAATTGACATCCTTTGCAAATTCAACACCTTACCACGTCTGGCGACTCATCCGTCAATGGAATAGAAATATTATTTTCATCTATCTATGCCAGGGGTGGGCAACTGGCGGCCCGTGCTATATTTTTATATTGCAATATACAATTTTAAAGTGTATCATCTATCGGTATAATAATAATTATTTGGTATTAAACATCGATTATTGTCTAAATGTCACATATAATATGTATACATATAGCTTTCGACCTAGGCTATTAATATACAATTTACACAGACACCAGATAGCAGAAATAAGAATAAGACAAATCTGCTACAGCAAAAATACGAAAAGGCACTAGACAAGGGTGTTCTATGTCACCAATGCTGTTTAATATCTATGTCAGCCAATCAAAGAAATAAAAGAAACACTCAATATACGTAAAATAGGAATAAATATCGGAGGAAAACTTTTACAAATGCTTAGATTTTCTGACGACATTGCTTTAATAACCAAATAAGAAAAAGAGATGGAAACTGCATTGGAAGATATGCAGAAGTGTTTTGAGGAATACGACCTGAGAATAAACTGGAAAAAAACCAAGGTTATGATATGCAAAAAATCACAACAGAGTCAAAGACTTCAAATCAAAGTGGGAAATAACTTCATAGAACAAGTAAATAGCTACAAATATCTAGGCAATCTAATCACCCAGGATGGAAAGACCACTAAAGAAATTAGAGCTAGGATATCACAAGCAAAAACCGCAATTATGAACCGAAAAGAATTATGCTTCAAGAAGATGAGTATCCATATAAGAAAAAGACTAGTTAAAGTGTTTGTGTGGAGTGTGGCCTTATATGGGTTAGTGTCTTGGATGATAAACAAAGTAGGAGAAAGATATTTAGAGAACTTCGAAATGTGATGCTGGCGAAGGATGCTAAAAGTTGGCTGGACTGTGTTTCGTATCAATGACAGTGAGTACACTAAGTGTATACACACTGAGTACAATGAAATAAGTGAACCTAGAGGATTATTAAAGTCAATCAAAGAAAGAAGATGGAGACTGAAGATAATGGCCAGTAACAAAGAAGAATGGAGGGAGCAAGGAAGAATGCTGTAAAACCAACCTTAGGGTTGATTACTAAAAAAGAAGCTTTCAACCATAGCTATTTGTATCGAATAATTTAACTACATATGTTTCTTTGTATCATTCATGACATGCTGTCGTGTGTGTTGAATTTATTATTTTCGTGTATATAAATTCTAATTAAAATGCATATTTTGAATGACTTTTTTGTTCTGGCACACTAGATTTAATACATATTAAATCAATTAATTTTATTAAATAGATTAATAACTTTTTAAAAATTTCCTGTCTAGAAACTTTGAGTTGCCCATTTCTAATCTACGCAGTAAATCTAACCTAATATATTTAAACTCTCTTTTATCATTATCATATTATTCTAGGGGAAACAATCGAAGCGAAAACGCACGATGAAGTGACCATGTTATTCAGCGATATTGTCGGCTTCACGTCCATCTGCAGCGGCGCCACACCGTTCATGGTCGTCAACATGTTGGAATGCCTGTACAACAAATTTGATGCTTACTGCGGACATTTGGACATCTACAAGGTAAGTGATATTTAATTTTTAATTAAATTGATAATACCTACTTTGTACTATTATGCCGAATGCACATATCTTGACCATTCACCGTGGTGTGTTCATACGACGGGTACATGTTTTAAGCGTATAGCACAAAAAATATTAATTATTTGTCACGTAACAGCCTTGCATGCTGTTGAGGTTTCAAATTTTTCTTTTTAAAACAGTCTATTAAATATAACTAAATTTAATGAAATATTTCAGAAGTATTTTATAAACACGACATATACTTTTATTTTTGGACTAATTTGAATGTTTGTTACTACCTGGACTCCTAAGCCTAATCTACCTATGTAATACGTGATTTAATGTACTGCGATATTAATAAGTTTAATTATATGTACATTGATGATTTATAATTTATATTGATGGAAAATGTATATTTTAAAAATAAGTCATTCACAAGCGGGTGCACCATATCAATGTTTATGAATTAGATAATTTAGTAATAGATTTACTTATATGCATTATAATTAAGGATTAAAATTGAATGTCATAAATGTATTTAATAGCCTCACCCCCCCCCCCAAAAAAAAAAAAACAAACATTTCCAAATATATATAATAGTCACCTATGCGTTTCATACTGATAATTCAAATTAATTTTAATAAAGATTAAGAAGAGATAAATAGTAAATCTCAAAAGTTAATTAATTAAATTATATTATAGTACTCGTATATAAATATAACAACTATCCAATTAAATTTTGTTCAATTTATTATGTAAATAAAACATATTTTTAACGTGCTTTGCATATTAAACCTACCACGCATAAATTCATGCCATCGCACGTCATATTTATAATAAATAATAGTTGATAGTTCAGCAAGAGTTGTGAAATAAAGATCATCTTTTTTATTCATCGAATCAAATAATCTATAATTAAACATAAACGGTGACGTAAAACCAGATACAACTTTTTTATCAAAACCAACAAACTACAACGGCGTATAGGTTAGGTATGTATTTCGAATTTAATTTAACGGAAATATATATTTATAAAAATATGTATTCAATTTTCAATGTTTTGATCGGTAAATTAGCCATGTTCAAAGCTTAAATTACTATATTATCTATCTGCTGTATGCTATGCACCAATTTCGAATTGAAAGCGTAGGTTTATTTATTTATTTAAATTTTTAATTCTTCGGACAGCTCGTATTTACAGGCGTTGTCTATTTAAAACATGATTTTATCGTTGTTTCTGGTATCCATAATATACACATGTGTAATACGATGAAGACGATATGCTGTCTGAATACAACGATATAACTTTTAAAAGCGCATTAATTTTTCATTGACCATAAATCGCACGTGATGTATTTTTATGAATTCGGTTTATAAGACATTAAACGGTCATATTTGAGGAAAGCTTTTAAAACGTGTCTGCAGCAACCCTATCTGGACAATGTGGATAGTATGAACTTCATACGGTTAGGTGAGGTTTTTTTTACAAATGTATAGTTGAACAAAATTCTATCGATTTTCGGATGAACTGTTGTAATCGGATAATCGCTGATAGTACATATCACGTATATTAGGCCTATAGTAGTCGTACATCATGAACACAAAACACTAAAAACAACTTTTTTAGAATCACCCTCAGCCGTAACATGGTTTTTTTTTTTTTTTTTAATAAAAAAAAATAGTGGCGCAGCTAAAAGTTATAATATTCGGTGTATATGTTAGTTAAATATTATAATAACGTTTTAATGTATAGGTATTTTCCAAATTGGCTCACGTACAAAACCTATAGGTACAATGTACCTGGTACTTTATATTATATTATTTACCATACTAGGTATCAGTGTTGCTGCGTTATGACGGGGAGGCGAATCGAAATCTTCGTCGCCTCGCGTACACGACGGCCAACTGCAGAAAGATAATAACAATAGTAATAGTAATAATAATATACGCGAGTATATGACTGGAGCAATGTTTTAAAATCGTATACATACATAAACGTGTTTATGTTATACAGTCGTTTAAGTGTCCGATCCCGAATTCATCGCACGCACCACGCAAACTTCTTTCCTAACAAACCCCCGTCCATGGTCCTGGACCGTTATTATTATTACTATTACCAATCCCTGAGACATTATGGTGCTGGCAATCTTTCTCTCTCTCTATCTCTCTCACATTCACTCTCTCTCACTCTTTCTCTGCTTCTGTTTCCATCTGATTTCACATATTCCTCTCCACAAAACGTTTTTTTTGTTGTTATTGTTATTGTTGTTTTTACCCCGGTATAGTATATACAACGACGGCCATCATGGGTTCATTTGAGTACAAGTTAAACTTATTTGATTTTATGTTATTCAAGATACCCATGAATCGTTTTTAACCTATATGTGGTGAGGTATGAGTAAAAAGAAGGATAGCTATATTCGAAAAATTAAATTCAAAGATTTATTTCTTAAATTTAGGTGTACTTTATTTTCCATACCAACTTAGGACCTGAAATCCTAGACTTAAATAAATAGTATTTAATTGGTAAATAAAAAAAAAAAAACTAAAATTACGTTACTTGATAAATATACACATTCATTTCTACAGCATTTTTAAATCTAATTCCAAAGCATAAGAAATCAGAGACAATTATATTTAAAACAGGACGCATGGCCTCACCATCGGGGATGGCGCGAGGGGCTGAGCAATAGGGGCAGGTGCCCAGGACCCCGCGCCTTAAAATATAATTAAGGCCCCACAGTTCTGATTTAACTGAACTTAAAATATTTTTTTAATATAAATTATAAGACTCAACATTTATTTTGCCTAGAACCTCGCAAACTTTACCACCGTCACTGCTCACCTTAGACCTTTATTTTATATAGGTCTAATTTATTTTATTGTTGTCTTAATTTACAAATGCTTATGATTTTTAAACATGTGACTAAGTGGTTAAGCTATGTGGTTGTGTATAACCACGGTACAGGTAATATGTTTATTTCTGAATTTTTTTTTATTTTCATCTCTTCTTAAAATGAGAGATTAAAGTTTTGTTTTACGGTTAAAATGTAATATGTTAATACATTTTACTCAAGATTTATTCGTTTTAATCAAATACTTCCACTAAAATATAAATTAAAATCTTTTTACATAATTGCATTTGGTAATAAATTTGTATACAAACCAACATCCATATATATATATATATATGGATGTTGGTTTGTATAATATTTTAAGCCTAAGTAAATAATTACCAATAAAATGTTTACGTTTCAACAGTTTTATCAAGAGTTGAAGTGAAATATTAAAAAAAAAAAAAAAACTGGCGCTATCGATATGTTCCAATATTGTAGTTTTTTACTTTTTAACGTTAGTAAAACAATAATGGTAGTAAATCAACATTTTTTTTATCAGATAGATAATTTGTATATTCATGTATGAATAATTCTAAATCAATATTCTTAAATAAATACTTGCAGAAAAACTCTGATAACAAATTTGATATTTTAGACCAATACCTATGTCTCAAACTAGTGTTCTCAATGCACTTGACTCCTGTATGTTATCAGACACCAAGGTGTCTCGAAAAAGTTGACATGGTCATCCGTTACGGCGTTCGGGAAATTTCAGGTCTGCCCACCAATTCTCCATTACCATTACCACATTACATTACCATGTAAATTACACAAGCTTAGGTGTCTCGGCATCATTCGAGTAAAATGGGAGGCTTCACTACAACATTTAAACATTTGTCAAACTCTTTACCGTATTGACGATTTTCATTTAAAGGCGGTAAGAGACTTAGTTAAAGAAATTAGTGTAGTTATGTCAAATAAGGCTAGGTTGTGTTTTAAGTAAGGATCTGTATGTCATATGTGTGGAGTTAAGAAAAGCAGACCACAATAATTGTAAAGCGCTACCACAACGAGGTATCGGGGTAATATGGTACGAAAATTATACACTAACTAACAGTTGGGTTTCAAATAAAATATGTTTAAACATCAGTGAATAGACGAATTAAATACAAATGTCCACGAACACAATTACCATTAGGACAACCACTGCAGAAATTCGCTCTGCGGTGAGAATAACTTAATGGAAATACTCCCTTACATTCGTGGATCGTGTCCAAGGTCCAAAAATTCTATGCAACTCTAGAACGATTGTTTATAAAATCAGAAAACAATTTTTGTTTTGCTCATAAATACATACTTTATTTAATTAAAGTATTGCATAATAATAATAATAATAATTTCTTTTTAGTAACAAATATCACATATAATATCGGAAACGGCATATATGAATACAATATAATAAATATATAATTACTAACCACTATTAGTGCAGGCGTTAATACAGATAAACCGCATTCCATAAACACAAGTAGTAGTGATATTTACAAGACTTTGTGACCACACTGCTTTTTTGACGTGTTTTGGGTGTTGAAGATAACAGGATGTTGATGGCACAGTTGATAGATAGCGACGATGGCATAAATGTTCTCCGTAGATGATGAAATTACTATATTTTAGTCGCAAGGGCACAGCTTCCAAACTGATATGGGACTTATTCAAAACTAATACGCTTAAACAAAGAATACCTAATGAATATTTGTTTAAAAATAATGAATAAAATACATTAAATATATTACATAGGTATGAATACTCCGTGTGATTTACGATTAATTTTAATCTATCGTCTGTTATGTTATATTCTATATATTTTTTCTTATTACACTATGATTTTAACATTTTATAATATAAAAAGATTTATATTTGCGTTTTCTTTTACCTATTTCTAAATTAAATTGTAAAATAATTGTTGAGTGTGATAAGTATACCATATTACTATAAGAAACCTGCTAGACAAGCAATCAGCTTTGTAAAATTTCTAGATAAAAAAATATTCTCTCTCTTTTAGTAATATTTTTCCGAAAAACTGATGCATTTCCATCGGCTTTTCTGTGAGATTCATGACTTTTTCTTTTACATTGACAATTATAATTATAATCCACTTTT